GTGTGTCTGGACCTCCTTCTGGCGATTGGTGGACAGCAATTTCCCCAGATTTTGCCCCGCCAGCCGCTCGCTGGTCAGCTGCTTTTTCAGCAGCTGCGCTTCGGAGCGCACGTCCTCCAGCTCTCCCTCCACCTGGGTGGGACCAAGCTCAATTTTAGCAAAGCGAGTATATGTTGCTGAACATTGACATACAGTATCGTGGTGCCTTGACTTAAGAGTGTCCCCAACTTACGAGTTTACGAGCCATCCATTTATTGCTTTGAATTGCAGTATTTGAGAAACAGGCAAGATTGAGTTCGGGCGAACGAACATTTTTAAAGTCTATTATTGTACAGATTAAAATCGTTCCATTGAATAATCGAATGAGGCACGCATGCAATCGTCCATCGTGCTGACACCTGCTCACCCTCTCGAGTTCCATGCTCTTGGATGTGACCTGTCGCACGGTGAGCTCTTTGGCAGAGTCCAGCTTGACGCAAAGCTCCCTGACCGAGGCCAAATCGGAGGCGAGAGACGCTTTCTCCTCCTGGGCCTTGCGCAGCTCTTCCTCAAGTCGGGCCATGGTTCGAGCCAGCGTTGACACTTTGCCCTCGTACGCCTGCAGAGCTTGCATATTCTGGAGGGGGGAAAAAAATGTACATCAATGCAATTCAAAATGATGAGCGTTTTCAATTGAATTCAGGTAACTGGGATTGTGTGTCTCACCTGCTGGATCTCAAGCTCCTTGTGGCTGACGGTTTCACGCAGGTGCCGGCGTTCCGTGTCGGACGAGAGGAGCTCCAGGCGGATGGAGTTCTTCAGCTCCTCGATCTGCTGCAGCCTGCGCTCCCGCTCCTCCACGTCCAAGTGGGCCGTGCGGTAGCGCTCCAGCAGGTCCAGGTTCTCCTGATCCTGGGGAGGCCAACACGTCATAGTCAGCTGATGCTTCACAAAAGGGAAATACCACAAAAGCAAGCAAGCACGCCAGCAGTAAAGGTTGGGGACAAATGTATTGGCGCGATTGGTTGCTTGAGGAGTTTAGTAAACCAGTCCCCTAATTGCCTCCAATTAACTTTTTTTTTTTCCATTCTCAGTGAGCAGAGAGGTGAGGCGTGTGCAGTTATGCATGGAGGAGCAAGTGTAAGGATGCAGAGAGTTTAGATAAAACTGACAGTTACAGTTACCTACACAGATGCCTTTTGATTAATGCGCATTGTCCTAAAAAACATGGAACCAGCGTGCACTAGTTAGCCCCAAGGACAACATGAATAGTCCACGAGTCCAAAAACGGCTCACCTGTGACACTGCAACTGGCTCAGAATTAAAACCAAAGAAGATTGTCAACTTTTATTTTATTTATTTATTTCTTAATGGACCAAACATTCAATATTTTGTTTCAAAATAAAATAAATTGTGTGAAATGCAGATTTACAATCATGTATGTGTATGGCAAATTTCTCTTGCCTTTGTCTGCAACAGGTTCTCAATCCTGGCCACTGCACTTATGTAAGAGTGCACTCTCAGTTTCAGCTCGTCGCGCTCACGCAAAGCCTCCTCCATCTCCACGTTGACCGCCTAGACGAGACAACAGAGGCAGAGCTTGGCTGTTCATTCTTTGCTTTTCAAAACATGATGATCAGAAGAACGTGATCCGCACTTGGTTCTCTCTGGTCATCGTCGCCAGGTCATCCTGAAGCCTCCTCTTCTCCCTGACTGTGATCTCTTTGGTTTTCTGTAGTCCCGCCACCTCCATCTGGGCTTCGTCGAGCTGTTTCCTGAGACTGGCGATCTCCCTCTCGCGGCTATTGAGCGCCCCCTGCAGTTGACTAAAACACAAACGTGTCGGATGACAAGTCTCAATTAGGTACGGTGACGCCTTAAAAAAAAGGAAAAAAGCCTACTCACGCCACAGATTTGTCCATCGCGGTGACTGTGTGCCTAACATCCTGAAGTGTCTTTGCCTAAACAGACAAAATGACATTTGCAATTATAAGCTATGGAAACTATTGTGACATGGTGCCAACAATGTTATTTGAAGAGCTTAACCATCGAGTTATGTTTGTTTCTCAGCAACAGAAATGATCCAAAAATGTCAGAAAAAAAAAAAACCCAAAAAAACAGTGACACACAAAACAGGAGGGTTCATAAACAAAAGCTTCATACAGAGATTTGGAAGAGCGACCTTATTTTCAAGTTCCTCCTGAAGAACAACCAGCTTCTCTGCTTTTTGATCCACCTCATCTTGCAGGCCATCTTTCTCCTTATCCAGCGCAGAGAATGAGAGATGAAGCCGCTCCGCCTCTTGCTTGTGCTTGGCCACCTGCTGACGCAACATCCCTGTGAGACAAAAGCAGAGAATTCAGCGGCAATCATTAAAAAATAAAATAAAAATAAAGCAATCATTACAAATCGTCACCTATGGTCTCATCCTGACTTTCCATCTGTTCGTTAGCGGCGTGCAGCTCGGAGGTCTTCACAGACAGTTTTTGTTGGAGGTCGGACAGCGAATACTGCATCTGCTCCTGTTGCAGCCTGACACGCAGAAAGAAAACACCGACTTTGAGAGACAAGCAATCTTGAACAGGAATAAGTGTCCTATGATATATTTTAATGACACCCCCCCTAGGCCCCCCCAAAAAGGGACTTATTGTCAAATATTTATTTCATTGCTGCGTATGACCAAAAATCCTCACCTTCTGAAAGTACCATGTTGTGGCAGACGTCATTTCCGGGTGAACTAAGTTGGGATTGTTTGACTTATTCAATAGAATTTATGACATGCTAGCAGTAAATCATTCAAATATAGCAGCATAATAATATCAGAAAAACAATATATTGTTCTGTACAGCATTTGTTTGTGTCTAAGGAAATGCATGGTTCTGTAATTTTACTTTGAAATTTTTAACACTGCCAAAAATGGTTGCTTCAAACCAAACTGGCCGACTTCCTGCTCAATTTTACAAAGTTTTTCATGCGTGCCGTTATGATAGAGATGTCCACCCAGTTTTGTGTTGATTGGTAAAACGGCTGTTGGGGGTAAATTGTTCTTAATTTTTTTCTTTTTTTTTTACTTTTTCCTCAAGAGTTGGTGACAACGTGTTCCCAAATCCAAAAACAGATCAAATTTGACTCGGGGACACATCTGAAAGAAATGGTGATTCATTACAAGCTCCATTGGCCACAATTTAAAGGGATGATGTGTGAGTTTTCTCAACAAACCTCAATGCAGAAGCCGTTTTCCTGTGCTGCGCTGCCTCTTCGGCATTTTGAAGCAGCGCACTTGACTGGACGTCCAGCTTCTGCTCCATGTCCCGCTTGCTGTCTTTTAGCGCGAAGAGCTGTGAACGCAGCTCTAAGTTCTCCTGTTCCAGCTTCACACCAAAAAGTCAAAAGCATTTCATTTTTTCCCCTTCTTTTAAATAGAATGTGCGGTAAAGTTAGAAACGGAGGCATTCATGTTATTCAGGGTTCTTATCCAAGACAGTGGAGACTTCAAACTAGAGTTTGGCAAACATGGAAAAACAATGCGTCACATGGGAAAATAATGATCCGGGCTTACAATGTGAATGCCATTCTGCATGTCGAGTATCCGCTTTTCTTGCCCATGTCCATTTGGAAGAGCCGATGTCTGGCCAACCTAATGAAGAAGAAGAAAGTGGAAAAAAAAATGCTCATATTTGTCCAGATTGTCAGCATGGGTTCTTTTCCGCGACAGTTTGAAGAACTGCCGTTGACCAATCAAATGACAGCGATGTCACAGACTTGCAGGCGTGCCTTCGAGAACCAGATTAGAAGAGGCTCTGAGGAACGTTCCATTGTAAGCGCATGCCTCTTCGAAAAAGTGGAATGGAAAAGCAAACGCACAGGGTGGGAACCACGCTGTTTCAGAGTCAAACCGGGGGGGGGGCTTGTGCGTGTAGGAGAGCTGAACCGACAAAAGCAAACTCACCTGAAATTCCTCCATCAGCAAGTCTCGCTCTGTCTTAACCTGCAGGATTTTACTTTCTGCCAGCCTCAGTTCCTCTTTCAGGTTCAAGACGTCATCGGACGTGCTTGAGCTTTGACGGGCGTCCTTCAGCTGCTCTTGCGCCTGAATAAAGAAAAGCTGTTAGAAGCCCATCTCTGCCCCCACCCAAAAAAAAGAAACCTAGGGATGGAGAGGGGTTGGATGAGGCTATTCACCTGGTAAAACATAACTTTGAAGTGGTCTCTCTCAGAAGTGAGAGCTTTCACGTTGGTCTGGATGTCCTCCATGCGCACCTCCACATCCTGCAGAGCCGCCTTCAGCTCGTCTCGCTCCTTCCCCAAAGTGAGCAAGTCTGACTCGGCAACGCCTCCCTGCGCAGTGTCAACAAGCTCAAAATTTGACGGCGGTGCCCCCCGCCCCGTCCATCGGTGGGCATATGGTCCACACCCACCCGTTATTTGTTAAAATTCCCAATATCGAGACCATATAAAAACATTTTTACTCCTCCTCCACATTAGGGCTATGCAATGAATTGAAATTCAATTACACTCAATGACTACAAAAGATCGAGACCATATAAAAACATTTTTATGCAGTGAATTGAAATTCAATTACACTCAATGACTACAAAATTGACATAACCGTTAAAAACTGTATTTGTAAATCATCTTACGGCCTACTAATACCCTGATTACCTTGCCCGCCGGACTCCTGCTCCGGACCGGACTACGAGCGGGGCTGCCGGCTCCCCGGACTCGTCTGCAGTGTTCGGCTTCCTGACGGTAGCGGTCCCGCTCCTCCTCAAGACTCTTGACGAAGGCGTCCAGGCGCGACGGCGAGCGTTCCCTTCCGCAGACGCCGTGTTTGGCTCGCAAGGCTTCCAGCTCCAGCACCATCTCTTTGTCTACAAATTTCATGTTACAATTATCATGACTAAAATAACCAATAGCGACGCTAATGGTTACAAGTCACCCAAATGAGTAACACTAACAACACATGACACTAAACAGGGTAATTATCAAGAATCCAAAAATAAAACAAGTGTCACAAAACTTTGAAATGATGCCAAAATGTAAAAAAAAAAAAAAAAAAAAAGAGGAGAATTCCCGCGGAAACTTACCGGCAGCCATCATCTTCTCCACTTTGTCCTGCAGCCTGATTTTCTCCGCCTCCAGGAAGTCCAGCGTTCCCTCCAATGCCTCGTTCTGCCGACGGAGCTCCAGCAGCTGCTCTTCTTGAGAGCCTTTTTCAAAGTCCCGCTCAGAAAGCTCCTGGAAAGAAGTTGCTCGACTTAAATTACACTGGTCAACATCATCATATAATACGTCTGGAACGCTTGAACCAAGAAGCTTGAATTTTACAAGTTTACATTTTGTCATTTCACTAAATACTCACCGCTCTTATTTTTTTCAGCTTCTCCTCCAAATCGTCAATGACTTCTTGTTGACTTTGAATAACTTCCTGCATAGGGGGGGGAAACATCTTCAATCTTGGAGGGTTCTCGCTTTTGTTTAAATGGCGTTAAGAACATGCTTTTGTCAAAGTATCCCAAGGATGAAGAACTGCAGGCTCTTATTTTGAGTTGAAATCAGCCACTGCTCTTTTTCTCACGTGCAAGGCCAATGCAGAGTACAGTTTATGTTACCATGACGACTGTGTGGATGTGTGCCTTTAAAGGGCGGGGCCTAGTGAGTCACATCAGGCGCTCTCACTCCAGCTCCAGGTGGGCATTTACGATGCTATTAGTTCAATGTGAGCGTCTTGTACATGCTCCTTGCAAGTGCTTTCATTTCGTAATTGCAAGTTTGACCGTTTGCGCCGTTCAATAACGGCTGAAAGTGTGTCTCAGACCATCGCTGTCCCATTTTTCTTTATTTTAAATCGAGCTGCGGTATATCTGGAGCTCCATTCAAATTTTGGCTTAACGATGACAAAAAAATGACAAAGCAACATCTGAAAAACGTGGGGCACTGCATTTGTACACTTTCCCATCATATGTGGTCTTCAAAATTTAAATTACAATGTCATATTCTCACTTTATTATTACGCAACTCCAGGTCGGCCATTTCCAACGCTCTCTCCTTATCCATCTCCATCCGCTTGGCCAGGTCGTCGATGTGTGTCAGCTCCTGACACAGTTCAAAGTTTTTCAAGGAGAGGTCGGCCACTTTGCTGGAGGATTTGTGCTGCAGTCCTTCCACCTTCTGCTCTAGTGCCTTGTTGCTCTCTTGCAGGTATTCGACCTGTTTGACATACACTGATTTTTTTTGGGCCGGCCAAAAGAGTCGCTGAGCTTTCCTGACAGAGCGACGTGCGCACCTGAAGGTTGAGGTGGGCGATCAGTTTCTCGTTGCTGGCGTTCTCAGCCTCCGAAGAGACGGCATCGCGAGGTCGCCCTCCATGAAGAACGCGGTTCAGACGGTCTATCTCTTGGTCCCTCTCACTAACCTAAAAGAATTGGCCATAGATTCACTTTGAATGTGAATGAAACTTTATCGAATGACAGACAGGTTACTTACTTGGGTGTTTAAGAGTTGTATGCATTCATGGGACTCGTCTAGCTCCGATGTGACTTTTGTGACTTCATCCTGCAGCTCAACAATCCTACGGATCAAAAATGGCAGACGGTTAAAGTGATTAGGAATTGTTTTAACTATTTAAAACAGTCCCCGGGGATGTCTTATTAACATGTGTATGAAAATGCTTTTTTTTTTTTTTTTTTTTTAAAGCAACCTGTTATCAGCCAATTGTAGGAGATCTGCTATGTATGGATCGTCAGGTTGGGCCACGGGGTACCCAGATGTCGCAGGTGGAGGGATGAGCTCATCGGTCTGCATTCTCTGACGTCGGAAAGCGATGCTACGCTTTTTCCCACCTGGTAAAAACATATGACAAGACCTTCATTCAGTGTATACATACAAAAACAAACAGGTTTAGCTGTTACCTGGCGTCTGCACCACAGCTTGCAGGTTTTTCTCCTGCAGCTGCAGAATGCATTCAGCCTTGGCTTTGCTGTCCTTCTCCAGGCAGCGGACCTTGTGCGCGTACTGATTATTCAAGAACCTCAGGTCGCACATGTCATGGTCCAGTTTTCTGATGCGGCTTTTCAGCTCTAAAACAAGGTGAAGAGTAGTATTGTTTGGAACGGATGATGTCATCATACAAGGGCATATTTGACCGTTGTTTCTATTTGCTATGCGTTAAAAGCGCGTTCATGGCAATCATAGGTTTGATGCTGTATTGTTATATTTTACGAGTTTGTGCTCATAGTCAGCCAGTAAAAATAGAGAAGATGTCAGTAGTTTCAGCTTTTTTTTTTTTTGCTCATTGTTATTTTTCATGGCTAAAAACACACTCGTGTACTGAAACAATGGCTAGGCCCCTGTCATCCCATTTTACCTCGAGTTATGTGCTCCATCTCCTCCTTCACCTTGAGGAGGTCAATATGAAGCTGGTTGTTCTCCCTGACCAGCCTTGCATTATCTGCTCTGTAGGGCTCGAGGAGGACGTCACAATTTTGGCTTTGTTTTTCTGACTTTGCTGAGAGTTTGGCATTGCGCAGGCTTTCGGTTGTGTGAACCAGATCACTGAAACAAAGAGCAGTTATTGTGCTTTTATTTAGATCAGTGATTCTCAACCGGTGGGCAGCGACACAAGAAAACATGCTCACTTACCGCGGTACCTACGGTTTTTCATTTAATTGTAATATATATTTTTTTATACATACTAACACTAACTTAACATAGAAATTGACACGAAACTGTCCACTCTTTTGCAAGGAGAAGTCGCCGTGCGTTACCTGAAAAGCTTCTCAACGAGCGGCAGGTTTTCAATCCCCAGAGGATGCCTGTAGCCCAGCTGGTCCAGACGCCTCCTCAAGTTAACGAATTTCCTCTCGGCGCTGCTCTCCATGACTCTAAAGAAACACTTCCGATTCCAAAACGAGCACTAAACTGTGCACAGTCGTGAGCCAATGTGTTAAACTACCACTACTGGAGCCTGTTTGCAAAACTACTTGGCTAGCTAGCTCACGTTAGCCAAAAGTCATCAACACATTTTTTTAGGGTCTTTTTCAACCCGCATGGTCACCATAACAGCGTATTAGAATAATTTAACATGACAGTTTAAAAAAATGTCAAGCTTTAACTCAATCTACATTCTTTGGCGCGAGGAAGCACTTTAGTCTGACAGCTACCACTATTTAGCATGACAGAAATGGATGCTATCTTAACAACCAACCCATGACACGAGTTAATATCATATCAATAAATATGATTTAAGGAGAGCGTGTGGCAAGAAAGAGCGTTTTATAAGCGGTGGCAAAAGTTTGAAAAGAGCGCCGATGACCTCAGGTTAGCGTTCGTCACCATGGATGGAAGGAAACAAAGAGGGGGGCGCGCGTTTTACTCACCGGCGTTCCCCGTAGTAGCAGAGCCGGAAGGGCGGTGTAGAAGAATCAATAAATCACAACCTTTACTGAACCAAGAAAAAAATTAAGAATACAATTTCAAACTAAATAATAAAGTAATCATAATAATAAGAATATAACAGAAAAAACGTCTCCTTTTTAAGAGAGATCTGTTACAAGAAGGCGGACAACAATTAATTTCAACAATAACAGTAACAATACAATGCATGTATAAAAGAAAACAAAATTTTAAAATTATAGAGACTAGCCAGTTTGAGTAGACTCTGAAGGCATTGCAGGAGCAACGGTGAAAGTATAATAAGATACTCTTGCTGGCCTCAATTTGCACAGAAGGGACCCAGATGTGAGATTGGTGGAATTTTGAATCATCAATAATTTGGATATAACATTGAACTAAAAGCAGGCGACTCCACATTTTAGACCCCAAGCAATACCTTCTCATGCACCTCTTGCCCCGTTTTTTTCCATCCTTGTGCTAGCCAACTTTGACAAGCAAAACATATTCATAACAATCTGCAAATAATAATCAGCATCTTGAAAATCTGATGTCTTTTATTTATTTTTGCATTATTTGTTTATTGGAGAATTATTGATTCTGTCGTGCTCCAGATGCGTAAGGCAGAGCTCAATCCGCTAATATTGCATTTTTGTATAGTACTGTACTGACAAACAAAACAAAAAAAGGAAGAATAGAAAAATACTTTGGTGGCTGCAATTTTATTAAGAACAAGGAGCAAAGAAATAAAATGAAACACGTGGTCAGTGCGTTAACGTGGTAAACTAGTGGATAGCACGTCCGCCTTGCAGTTCAGGTTTGCAATCTCAGCTTCATTCCGCCCTGTGTTTCTGGGTCCTCTGACTAACGTTAGGTTCCTTGAAGATTCTAAATTGTCCATATGTGTGAATTGTTTATCAGGACATAGCCCGCCAAGCGCTATAAAAAAAAATGGATGGACGGATGAATAAACGTGGTTTGTGCATGTTTATCCAGAGCGTGTCAGTAGTGAGTCATTGTCAGCGAGGCTAATGTGACTGAGCGATGCTGGAGAAATACTCCAGCATGTCCTGAATGGTAAACTCCATGGTGATTCCAGAGCCAGGGTAACACCTGCCGATCAAGTCTTCAAAATGTTTGTACTGCCGGATGAACTCGTCTTGCGTGGAGTGCCACACCACCTGCAGGAAGCGCACATGAGCGAGGACACGTTGAGAAAGTAAACCAATTTAGTAGTATTTAATTGATCTTTTTTTGTGACATTGTAGTAGATTTAACGTGCCCGCCATGTTCATGGGAATTCCTCATTACATCTTTTCATTGCATTATGTTTTTACTTTGTTTGTTTTTTTTTTTATAAAATACAATATTACGGAGTGCTATGTTTTTCAAATTTAAATATATTTTTTTCTGGGGGCTGGGGGCGGCTGGAACAGGAGCAAAGCAGTGGCAGTAATTTGTATGACTGTCTATGCTGCCCCCAGCTGGCCAAGGCGAGCACCTTAAAAGGAGTAGCACAATGTCAAAAAAAAAGAGCAGCAAAAAATGTGGCAAACAAGATTGATGTTATAGCGGAAAAATGATTTGTGATTCAAGTGTTTCAAGTTACATGCCTGGTTGCCGATCAGATTCAAAAATGTTTAAAAAGCTCCGATTTGTATGACACCAATCGTATCTCACCTGTAGCAGGCTTTCCTCTTCACACAGGTGTTTGTCCACCTTCTTGTAGAGGTTGTCCAGTCCCTTCTTGACCTCTTTTCCAGGGTACTCTTTGATGACCTTTCGGAGCTCCTGCTTGTTGAAGGCCAGCTGATAGCTCACCTCCTCTTCACGGATTCCTTGCGCCACGCGGGCTTCCACGCCCTCGAAGAAATGCTGCACCAAGGCAATGATGATGATGATGATGATCAACTTGCCGTGTTAAGCACAGGTGAAGATGCTTTTTTTTTTCTGGCCTTACGTTGAGCTTTTCCAGAGGCTGACCCAGAGAGTTGATAACATAGGACTGCAGGTGGTCCGTGTATTTGTGTTTGGCCTCGCGCCTCTCCGCATCCAGGCAGGAGATCTTCAGCTGAGACAGCGTGGAGAAGATGTGGTGGAAGTTCTCCATCATCACCACGTCCCGCGGGGTCTTCTGGCTCTCGTTGGCCACTTTTTCCACTGAGGAAGTCGAGGTCCAAGTCAGAGCTTTGCCTATGTTTAAAAAATATTTATATATGGGTCAGGGTTCTTACCGTTCATGAAGACGGCCCTGATGAGCTTGACGTAAGCTTTGTCGAGGTCTCCGCGCCGTTCCGCATTTCGGAAGATGGTCTCGGCCAACTCGGCAAACTCTTCGAAGCCGGTGACGAAAGGCAGGATGCCAACTTTGCTCTTCTTGGAAATTTTCACTTCCTCCATCTGTCTGATCTGGACAGACTGTGAGGAGGAAAGGCACATTATTTAGAAAGATTAAAGAAAGTTGAAATAAAAAGTGTACACACCCCTGTTAAAATTCCATGTTTTTTTGGTGACAGAAAAAAAAACGAGGCCAAGATAAAGTTTTTCCAATCGTTAATGTGACTTACTGTATAATTTATACTATCCCACATTTTTTTCTTCTTTCAAACACTAGCAAGAACATTTTGTACCAAGACTGACTGGTATTTGGAACGATTGACCAAACCTTGACTAAGGCCCCTGTAGCAAATGAAGAAAAACAGTTTTTTTGGTGTGGCTCCTCATCATGTTTGCCAAATATATTTTGTCTTTTGGAATTACGGTGAAAAAAAGTACAACTCTGGCTTCAAAATTTAGCAAAAAAATAATAATAATAAAACCCACACCTTTCCTAAATGCGTGAAGAAAAATGTGTTATATGGTTTGAGTAGTCTCATGCCATCGCTTGTCTTGTAGAAACAAAAAAGGTGTCCTGTCATCACCTTTTGTCCTGTCGCGTCAAGGAGCAAAACTCCAGTCTTGGCAATTGCAAACTTAAAGTTGGTGAGTATTAGTCACAGATTTTTTTTACTACTTGCAGTATGGCTTGGACCCTGTCACTGTCAGACAGATGTTAAGATGCATAAACACGCAATACTGAATGCCGATTCAGCATTGGCCCGAATCACAAGCAATAGCCATAATCGAATCAATAAGAATTATACACCCTACTCACGATGCATTTGTCAAAGTTTCTCTTGACGGTGACCAACACATTCCCCAGCGTGGTGCTGAGAAAGGACGCCGGGTCCACGTTTTCCGCCGTCCACACGTGGTGGCTCATCTTCACCAGCATGTACAGCGAGTGAAAGCTGTCCATCTTGTCGCCCAGAGCGATGAGGCTGTTGAGCTCCGGCTCGATGCTCTGGAAGACTTTGTTCATCATCAGACGCACCATGTCTTTGCTTTTGAAGGGCAAGAAAATGGCGAAAAAACGTGAGAGGATGTTGTGAAGCTACTGTAGTCGACGGAATTGAAGTTAACGTGAGTACTCACTCTGATGACAGGGAGTGTCTGTGTTCCGCCTGGGGAGGCATTCTTGAAGGCACGCCGCCATCTGAATCCTCGGCTTCCGGCTGACAAAGCAAAGGAAATAAAACATGACAACTCTTGCCAGACGTTTGAGGGTGTTTATGAGGGATAACAGCACGCCTGCATCTGTTATTGCTTTGTAAGTTGATGTTTCGGGGAGAGCAGAAAGAACACGAGGGCATCGTTGGACAACCAAGGGATTCCATGTCGTGCTTTGAAAATGGTAAAAGTGTTGATGAAAGGCCTACTTGATTTTCATGTGTGGAAAAAACACAATTACAAACTGCATTGACGATCGCATTCTCAGAACATATTTGACTGGATTTTCACACAATATACAACTCGAGTGCATTTGCTATTCCGTACAGGGAAGTTGGGTGAATTAATGTGTAAACGCTTGGAACCGCTTGACGAAACTCTCATAAAGTTGACACTCTTGACTGAGAGGCACTAAACCGCTGTGCTCTCCTCAATCGCTTTCAATTCAAAACCATTAAAATTTCACTGCTACGTTCAATATTTATTGAAGATGACAAATCTCTGAAGCAAAAAAAAAAAAAAAAAAAAATCACCTGAGCCAAAGGAGGCAAGACGGGCGGGTGCTGCTGCAGCTTGAAGAACTTGCTGATGAAGTCTTGTTCGGCGAGGCACAGTGGCTCCAGCTCACTGAGGACCTGCTCGAATATCTGCAAACAACCACTCCGGTTCATTCACTTCATTCCCATCGCTTGGCCTTCAACCGTCGGTGGTACCTTGTCAAACTTGGTGCGATCGGCCACGTCCAGGTCGGAGGCCGACATGTTCCCCATATCCAGCAGTGAGGACGACTGCGAGCGCCGACTGTTGGAGCCCTGCACGCTCAACTTATTTAGGCTGGACGTGGAGCCTGTCAGCTTTCCGGAGCTTCCGTGAAGGCCTGAGTTGAACATGTGTTCCAAGTGAAATGAAAGAAGTACGTTGGCGTAGACGACGGATAAGGTGACGAACAAACATGTAAGCGTGAGCGTTAGAGCAGGCACGGAAAGCATTGTGGGGAAGAAAGCACGGTGGGGAAGCTCTCTCCTGGCTTCTTACTTACTTTCCGTCTCCTGTTTGAGCGCGCTCTCTTTCCGCGGAAGCGTGGCTGCAGCCAGTTAGAATAGGGCAGGCGTCAAAGACAGAGAGAGGTTAGGCTTAGTACATGCAGCACGGGTTGTTAAAGACAAGCCACTCGGTATAAGCTGAGGCGCGCTGCAGTGGAAGGACCCTCCAGACAACAAATCCCTGGGCTGCTTTCAACACAAAAACTTCACACAGAAAGTAGCGAGGCATTACTATCACCCACAGCAGATGACAAGCAGTTCTTTCACACCTTTCAAAGCTTGTGTTGATGAAAAGAAGTCAGTTGCAAATGTGCAATGCAAATGGCCATTTTATTAGTTTCGTAGGAACTTAGTTATGGCGTCACTATCATGGAATCTCTTCAGTTGAACT